GTTGTCGGGTCCTCACCCTCTCCCCCCTCCAGGTGTTGTCGGGTCCTCACCCTCTCCCCCCTCCAGGTGTTGTCGGGTCCTCACCCTCTCCCCCCTCCAGGTGTTGTCGGGTCCTTACCCTCCCCCTCCCTCCAGGTGTTGTCGGGTTCTTACCCTCTCCCCCCTTTCAGGTGTTGTCGGGTCCTTACCCTCCCCCTCCCTCCAGGTGTTATCGGGTCCTTACCCTCTCCCTCCCTCCAGGTGTTGTCGGATCCTCACCCTCTCCCCCCTCCAGGTGTTGTCGGGTCCTTACCCTCTCCCTCCCTCCAGGTGTTGAGAAGCTGATCCACCATCTTCAGAAGCACGGCATTCCTTGTGCTGTGGCCACCAGCTCAGGGACCACGTCCTTTGAGGAGAAGACGAGTCGGCACAGAGAATTCTTCAGCCTCTTCCATCACGTCGTGCTGGGGGATGACGCGGAAGTGAAGAACGGCAAGCCGAGTCCGGACATTTTCCTGGTTTGTGCAAAGAGGTTTACTCCCCCGCCTACCATGGACAAGGTCAGTTAAGTATTGATGGTTCGTGGTCATGGGGGGCGGGCTTCACAGTGTCATGGCTGGGTGGCACTGAGTAGAGAGCTGAGGTCTCTGTTCTCACAGTGTAAGGGCTCCCGTGAGGCGCCTCACAGCCTGGATGGGGACAGATCTCCTGAGTGAGAGTTGTGCGTGGCAGTCACACTGGTTTTCTGCAGACAGTCCCTGGATTTCAAGCAAGTTCCCTGCCTCAGTCTGTCTTAAGTCAAATATGTATGGAAGTTGGAACAGTCAGGTTGGTTTTGTATCCAAGGTCAGTTAGTCAAATGTGTCTCTTAATATATAGTACAGAGGGTACCTTTCTGTACATAAAGAACATTCAAGAATTACTTCCAGACACACTAAAACGTCCTTAACACAATGATGCAGTAGTGATGACGACTGTTGTGATGCACGTCACTCACCAGTGCTTGTCACTGTGAACCATTGTGTGCAGCATGAATATTTAATATCACAGGTTTTACAGGACTGGCCTGTAACTGTGGGTGCACAGCTGTTCTCAGGACTGGCCCCTGACTCTGGGTGTGCAGATGTTCACAGGAGTAGCCTCTAACTGTGGGTGTATAGATGTTCATAAGTCAGGGCCTGTCTTTAACCTAAGCCTAGTCAGCAGCCCAGTGAGTCTCGGGCAGAACCTTCTGGAACGTCCCAGCATGTCTGAAGAGATGAGAGTGTCTGACAGAAGGCAGCCCGTCTCGGTTACCAGTGCTGCTGGGACAGAGAGGCCCCAGCTGGGCTTGAGCACAGACATTGTTTCCTCACGGTCGCGAGGCCAGATGTCTGAACTCGCCGTGCCGGCTCTAGGGAAGCCTGTCTGTCTGTCGGCTCTGGGGGAGGGCCCTATGTGTTTGCGGCTCCTGTTTCCTGCTTCCTTGGAGAGCTTGTTCTGTGGCCCCTGTCTCCCCGTCTCTGCCTGCCGCTCAGGAGTCAGGATTTACTGTGCGTGGTTTTGGGGGCCTGACTGAGTCGCAACGCTGCTGAAGCCCCCACTGTGCAGGGCAGGGGTGTTTTGGTGATGAAGGGCACACCATCGTTATCCCTTCTGATAGGCAGACTTTCAGGCCTGGGTTCCTTCACACACTGAGTCATACCACTCTGCGGGATGATGCCGGCGGGAACTGGGCCACTTGGGGTCTGTGGGGAACGTGTGCTGGACAGCTGCACGTGGCCCTCTGCACGCTGTCGGGGGCGTCATTTAAGAGCGAGGTTCAGAGTTCTTCTCATACTCGTTTTCAGACTTTTTTCCTTTCCTGTCTTTTTAATGACCTTTTGCCTTCTTTGTGGATGATGTTCTTTTTTTTTTTTTCTTATTAGGATTTGGGTGAAGATTTACAGAGTAAATTCACTTTTCATACAGCAGTTCACATATACTTTTTCTCATGTCATTGACCAAAATTTACAATGCAGCAGCTCCCCTCCCACTTCCTCCCCATAGTTACCTCTTCCCAGTGTCCATCCCTTCATACTCTTCTGCACCCTGAGCTATCTCCCTGTGCATAAGCAGTCCTTCCTTCTCCCATGATTATTCTCTCCAGGGCGTGTGTCTACTTGAGGTAAATGTTTAACTCACATGCCTGTACTTTGTTTGGCTGGAAACCACAGTTGTGGGTTCAATTCCAGACCTGAAGGGCAGCTAGGGGCCATAGTCTCAGTGGTTACACCAGGCTCCATTGGACCAGCAAACCTGGTCCCCACCTTCTTTTTTTTTTTTTTTGGCCTCCAAATGATTTTGAGTTTTGTACCACATTGTTCTCCCTCTTTATGCAGGATCTCCTACATCCCTTCCAAGTGGATGGCAGTGGTAGCTGGGCACCATCTAGTTCTTCTGGTCTCATAGTTGTATAGGTTGCAGATCGGATGGTGTACCAGTCGCTAGGACTGATTGTTTCCATTAATTTTGGTTTTCTTCTTTCTTCTTGACGAGGAGAGACCCGTTGTTGCATCTAGATGGCAGCTTCCTAGCTTTTAAGGTCCCAGTCGCTACTCGCCAAAGTAGTAGGTGGAACAATGTTTTGTATAGTATGTTATGCCAATTGAGCTTGATGTCCCCTGCGACTATGGTCCCAAGCCCGCAGGATCAACTACTCGGTCCCTCTGGGTAGCTGGCTGTGACCAAGTAATGACCATAACCTTGCCCCTTGTCAGCTCTACTATACACCTGGGAATTCTGATCATTCACATGAACTTATAGGCCCATTGTCTGCCAACCCTGTATATGATCTTGGATACACTCTCCATTTAGACATACCTAATTGTTTAGCTTGTTCACCCATCTATCCGTCCCTATACCCATGTTTGCTTTCACTGACAACTCAGTATTGTATATGCAAAGGGGTTCATATTTGTTGTTTGTACTGCCCACGTAACTCTCTCTGTCTTTCTCATCCTCAATGCTGCCATATTGGTCACTCACATTTGGTACATTGCCCTTCTCTTCACCCAAATCAATATTTATCTCTATCTATCTAACAGCATTCCCTCCCCTCCCCTCCCACCCCTGGTAACCAACAAAGAAAATGTCCTCCAATATATAAACCTTTCCTTAACTTTTACAATAACGGACTAATACAATATTTGTCCTTTTGTGACTTGACTTATTTCGCTCAGCATAATATCCTCCAAGTTTGTGGATGATGTTCTTGATGTCATGTCACAATTCCTGTGGTTTTCAGTCATTGGTGTTCAGTGCATCGAATCTGTTCTTTAGATGGTCTCAAAATTCAGGAGGGATATAATCAAGGTCATAGTTTGGCTCTTGTGGACTTGTTTTCATTGTCTTCCGCTTCAGCTTGAACGTGCATCTGAGCAATTGATGGTCTGTTCCACAGTCAGCTCCTGGCCTTGTTTTGGCTGAAGGTATTGAGCTTCTCCATTGCCTCTTGCCACAGATGTAGTCAGTCAGATTCCTGTGTACTCCATCTGGTGAAGTCCATGTGTATAGCCGCCATTTGTGTTGTTGAAAAAGGTATTTGCAATGAATAAGATGTTGGTCTTGGAAAAAAATTCCATGATGTGATCTCTGGCATCTATCACCAAGACCATATTTTCCATCTACTGGCAATTCTTCTTTTTTTTTTTACCTCCAATTTTTGCGTTCCAGTCACCAGTGATAATCAGCACATCTCGATTGCATTTTTGGTCAATTTCAGACTGCAGAAGTTGGTAAAAATCCTCATTTTCCTCATCTTTGGCTTTGGTGGTTGGTACTTAAATTTGAATAATTATATTATTAACTGATCTTCCTTGTAGGCGTATGGGTATTATCCTATCACTGACAGCATCGTACTTCAGGATAGATCTTGAAACATTCTTTGTGACGTTGAATGCCACACCATCCTCTTCAATTTGTCATTCCTGGCATAGTAGATCTTAAGGTTGTCTGATTCACAACGGCCCAAACCAGTCCATTTCAGCTTGCTAATGTCTATGCATTCTATTTCATTTCTGACAGCTTCCAGTTTTCCTAGATTCATACTTGCACATTCCATGTTCTAATTATTAATGGATGTTTTGCAGCTGTTTCTTCTCATCTTGAGTCATCTCACATCAGCAAATGGGGGTTCCAAGAGCTTTACTCCATCCATGTCATTAAGGTCGACTCTACTCTGAGGAGGCAGCTCTTCTCCAGTTGTATTTGGAGTGCCTTCTGACCTGAGGGGTTCATCTTCCAGCACTATATCGGACAGTGTTTCAGGGCTATTATAAAGTTTCCCAGTAATGTATCAGACAGTGTTTCACTGCTGTTCATACGGTTTTCCATGGCTAATTCTTTGAGAAGGGATGGCCCCTTCCTTCTTCCGAGTCTGTCTTAGTCTGGCAGCTCTGCTGAAACCTGTCCGCCATGGGTGAGCCTGCTGGATGTGAAATGCCAGTGGCATAGTCTCCAGCCTCACAGCAGCATGCAGGCCAGCACAGTACAACAGACCGACAGACGGGTGGTGGGCAGTGCCTCAGGTGAGTACAGACCACCAACCTGTTAGCTAGCAGTGGAACACGTAACTGTTCGTACCACCTAGAGATTTGTGAGAGACTTCTTGTTTTCTTTAAAATCTCCAGACGTTTAACATCTGCTCCTCCTTTCTCTGGTTCTTCTGACCAATAACTGAGGAAGTCCAACTTCTGTGGAAGGAAGGTGTTCCCTGAGCATCTGGTAGACCACTGTTGTTGGAGCCCAGTGTCGAGTTGCAGGAACAGATACTGTCCAGGCCCAACACGGGGTACTCGGGGGCCTGTCAGCCAAAGGCTCTCTGGGTGCCATCCCTGAACCCAGCTGTGTCTACAGAGCAGGGCCCAGTCTTCCAGGATAGCTCAGGTAACATCCTGGAGTCGTAGGTCTCTCCCTGGCTGTCAGTCACGGAGGCACTTTCTTTCCCTTGATTGAAGCCTGGATAGGAGCCGGGAGCCGGGCCTCCTGTGCCCTGCCTCCTGCTTTCCCGCCTGTACACTGCAGTGCTGAGTGTGCATATCTGAGAGGTAAGGGGCAGCTGTCTGTACTGCCCTGCTGTCCACCGCCGTGGAGCTCCGAGCCAGCTGCTGTCACATGGACCCTGGTTCACGGCCGCCCGTGTGTGCGCAGTACTCCCATGCTGCTTCGGGTTGGCAGTGCCCGGGGGCTTTTGGAAGCTGATCACCAGGCCTTTCTCCCGAGGTGCCGGGAGTGGACTCCAACCATCAGCCTTTTTGTTAGCGGTGAGCATGTTCACCGTTTGCACCAGCCAGGCACTCCATCATGGAATGTAAAATGTCTTCATTTCTCTTCTATTTGCCGTGCGTGATGTTTTCTGTAACTGCTTGCTCCCTGAGCCATCTTACACCCACACTCTGAGCTCCTCTGTCTCAGAGACCTGTCTCTTCAGCATGCGAAGGAAGAACTGAGCTACGTCCAGGGTAGCGGGAGATCCTGGATCTGTCCTGTGTTGTTTGTCTGACACAAGTCCCTCCACTCAAGGGCATGGTACCGTGATCGC